TTCGACATCTGTCTCTCTCCTACTTGAGTGAGCGATGCGTCCGCGTGGACAGCTGCTATACAATAATACATTTCCATTTACCTCCTTCTCTATATCCATACAAAATATCTATCAAACAAATAAAATTAAAATTTTCTTTTGAATAATGAAACCTTTCCATCAGTATTTTCTTATGACGTTTTCACGTTCAACTATCGTCAGTAAACCGACTTTACAGACAACCGATTTTTTTGAGCTGCTTTTTCTGAAAATAACGAATATAAAGTGAATTAATTAAATGATCAATTACATGTACAAGGTACTTGTGTTTACTCACCATACCGTCCTTTTTCTTCGTATTGGAGAAATCTGAGAACTTGTTTAGTCAGACACCTTTCAAATGTGACCTCTATCCTTTTAACTTGAACCTTCACCTAAAATATATTCGAATATTGATACTTTATGCACATATATAATTGCTATCACGTCTTTTACTTTCAGTCAAGGCATACTTTTTGCTATCAGTACAATTTTCTGGGGACAGTTCAACACTCACGCCGCCTGTCGAGTTTTTTCCACTTCCTTCAAGATTTTTGTTAGGTTCGGAAATATCACTTTGATTAGATAGCGCTAACCTTCCTCTTTGAATGAAATCACATCCTATTACTACCCCTGGTGGTTTCCTTAAAATAAAGGAGAATATTACAAGTTAATTAAGGATGTTGATAACTGTCTTTTGAAGGAGCCTTTAATTGCTGCGGCGGTAATGAGTCATAATAAATGGGGCTTCATTGCTATAAAACGCGTTTATCCAAAAGGAATAATGAAACTATTAGCCATCTAAAGCTATCTACAATGCCTACGTCAGTAAATAGCACAATACAACAGAGCTAGATACCTGAAATTTTAAGACAACCCTGCTACTATCCTCTGAATTGTTATCAGGCTGGTGAATTACGTTCTATCCGTTAATATTTCACAGTGGGTTTAAATAAATAAGCTATTTTTGTGGTAGAGCGTTCTTCACATCATTTGAAGTTTAAAATAAGACTGGCAAACTGAATTTACATGATAGTACAACATGCAGAAATAATTAACATTTGTGAATATTCAAACATTCCAATTCTATACTAAAAGCAAAGCGATAGGTACTAAAAAATTAAAATAAATGATAATATTTTAAATACA